TGTGTGTGTGTGTGTGTGTGTGTGTGCATGTGTGTTTGTGTGTGTGTGTGTGTGTAAAGGGAGTGAAGTTAGTCACGTAGCTGAGGGAATATAAATAGCAGGGGAGTCAAAAGATACCGTGTTAGATGAGCTTTACTCCGTCCCACACACTCCTAATAATGACTTCACTCACACGACTGAACCTGATATAATGTTGACAATTTACAAAGTACACTTTACTTTACTTTTCAAACAATACATGGACAGTGAGAGGCTTTGCTTTGGTTTTTATTACTGTGTTTCTGTAACAGATAATGTAGTTGTGTGGCTATGGCTTTACTTTGATTGTATTGCAGACTGGTCTTGAGGTAGGACATCACTCCCTGTCAAGACATGCTTTAAGAGGAGACAGCGTGATTCACTCTTGATTGCAGACCTTTGAATTAAAAAAACTGAAGCCACTTTTTTATATGGGGACATTATTGGGTTTCTCTTGGGAAGCTTTGTTCAGTTTCAGTGGCACAGTTGTTGTCTGCAGCTTCAAGATACTTTCGCATAGTTCCTATTGGATTATCTAAATAGTTTCATATCAATTATATTTTTACTATCATGAATAACATTGGTGAGTCTGTTAGTCACTTTGAGCTGCCAGCACGGTGCCCTGGCTGCTCTCACATTTCACATTAGCATAATGGCCAACTATTTTGATAACTGGTTAATTGCAAATTAATTTTTCTGCAAAATTGGCAGCAAATGGCATTTTCAGCCTCTCAAATATGGACATTTCTTGCATTTCTGTTTTATTTTTTCTGCAACGATAAGTTAATTAATCGATTAGTTGACCAAATGGAAAAATAATTGCCAACTATTTTGATAACTTGGTAATTGTAGTCATTTCTCCCGCATAAATGTTGGTAAAATGTGTTTTTTAGCCTCTTAAATATGGAAATTATATCATATTAAAGTGAATATCTTTGGGGGTTTGGACAAAACAAGACATTTAAAAACATCACCTTGGACTGTGAGACAGTTTTCTAACATTTTATTGACTAAATGACTTATCAATTAATCGATAAATGAATGAAGATGAAGATTAATTGATAATGAAAATAATTGTCCGTTGCAGCCCCGTTTTCATCCAGGGTAATATGACAAATATAGGTCTACCAATATGAGAAATAAGAATGAAACTGCACATGTTGTTTTGTTGTTGTTCTTACAGTCATAGAAAAGTTTGGAGTAGTTTTGAGTACCATTACCATGTAACCAAGACACCAAGTGTTGCAGTTCACTGCCAAGTGTTCCACATTTGAAGTTGTTGTTAGAAATACTTTTGTTCTGAAATGTTCGTATCAAATAATTGTATAATATACTCCCACACAGTGTACCAAAAATATCTCTAAATCTAAAATCATGGTCTTGTGTGTGACTGCACTGCAAACTCTCAATGCAAACTCAAACAGAAACAAAATACCTTGCAGGAATGTTTTGTACTATAAAGAGCTGATCTGGCCATTTTAATACAGTGAATCTCCTCCTGACCCCAGATGAACTCTCTTCTAGATATAGTGAACCACAGTGTGTCTTGAGATGTTCTTGGGTAGATGGTACAATTATAGAAAAAGCTTGTATGACCTGTCCCTGCTGCCACTAATGATTCTGTCAAACAGATAAAGTAGAGATAAAATTTCAGTCTTCAAAACAACAGTCATGATCCATATTTGGCAGCACACAACATGTAGTCTGTTTCAGTTTCGACAGCTTTATCTGTGAAGCCTTTTTCATTTTAAGTGATTGACTATAACTCACTATTTCATGAAAACCTCTCAAAACTTCTCTATACTCCAGATTTAATAAAGAATAAATAAAAGATATGCAGTGAAATACATTTTTCATTCAACATGTGTTAATGCTCATGCATAGCTAAAAATCTCCTTAAACATATGTGTGTGATGACCAGGGGTGTAGGGCGGGGACCTTGGGATTCTCCCCCAGGAAATTCTGACCATGAAAAACATTCTGGAGTGAATTTCTGTGCACAAATTTATGGCTGAAATGTCTTCAGGCTTATTAATGAAGGAAAACACAAAATTCAGATGGCAGGTGACAATTACAAAAATAAAAATGCTAGGATAGAATATAGAGCAGTAAATGTCTCATGCATTCTGTATTGGCCTTAATGATTTCTTCTCCTGCAGCATGGATGTATTATGAGACAGTGGGCCCCTGGGTGCAGTTATGCAAAAGACTCCATCACCTTATCTACATAGGAGCAAGACAGACTTTTTTGGTGGTTTTGCATCTTCTTGTGGTCATCTTGTGTCAGTTTTGTGTCTCTTTGAGATACTTTCAAGTCTTTTTTGTGCCATTGTGTGACCTTGTTTTTTTTTTTGCCAGTTTTTGTAATTATTTCTTTGCACCTCTTTGTGGCATTTTGAGTCTCCTCCTGGTCAGTACCTGGTATTTTGAGTGACATTTTGCAAGCGACGGCCCCGAGGACCTCTGTCACTTTGGGCCTCTGAGTATGTACCTATCAGGCATGTTCAGTAATCCATCCATGACCTGTAGATCAACTTTTCTCATTTAATACTATTCCTGCTAACTCAACATTCATGTATACATGACTTACTCTTCCCTCCTCCTTTGTCAAGACGAGTTATGTCTTTAAATGTGCATGTTCAAGCTCTGCACATCAATGACACATTAATTCATTTGAATTAATTTATAAACCTCTGGACATTTGGACGATGCACATTTGTTTCTGCTCTATTTACATTGTAATGAGTGTTTTCTTATTGTACAAATAAACCATTCTGCCAGTGAGCTCCTTTGTTAGTTGACATTTCTTGATGCAAGTTATTTACCTTAACATTTTTTTTTTTACAATGTATGCTTTTAAAAGTGATGGGACAGGTCCCAGCATCCCCAGTGTAAATGACACCTATAGTGATGATCAGGAGTTTGTGTATAGAGTTTAATGAGGATCAACTCAAAAGTGGAAGTGTCTTTATTTACACAAAGCAGTGGCAACATCAACTCTCTATAAATGTCTCTCACTTCCATTTTCAGTGCAGCCCTGCCTCCTGTGAAGCAACAGCGGCTTTTACAACACCTGCACTTGGGAAACAGTGAAATGAATAAACTGTGTTTTTGCAAGATTGTGTTTAGATCCATGTACGCTCATATTTATTCATTGGGTTCAAATTAGATTAAAGTTGAATACGTGCAGCAGCTCTGTCAACACACTGAATATGAGCCGTCCATGATAGCCTCTGAGGCTTATGTGGATCTGGAGGATGTGTGCATGTATGGTTGCGAACCACTGTGACCATGAATTTGGGTCACCTTGAGTGTCACAGCCAGGTTTATGTCATCGCCATCTGAATTTACAGGGACAGTAGGTTAGTAGGTCCCCCTGAGAATCACAGAGTGTAAGATTTCACCTGATTTGCATATGTTTTTATCTGTTATCTGTTTTTTTTAGTTGTTATTCTATTTATGTGTCCAAGTAACTGTAAAATCCTCGACCCCTAACCTGTCCTGGATTAATGTGTTAATCTCCAAAGGTCTATTTCTGAAGATAAAGCATGTAAAAATCAGATTTCATATGTATTTTTTTCAAATAATAGCCACTGACAATCATCTGCAGCAGCAACAGCATATCGAGTACCATGTGAAGGATTTATTACGTATTTCTTAATTGTGTGTTCCAAGTGTTTATCATCACCAGGTGGGAAAACAAAACAAGTAGGCCAGTGGGTCAAAATAAAGTTACCAACACCACCATTGGTATAACACAAAGATTTAGTCTTTTCATCTGCTGAGGCAAATTGTTGTGGCCCAGTTTTTCGCAGCCTTACAGGAGCGTTCAGTGAGCGTTCTACCTCTGAGTGTCAGGAGCATGTGACCAAATGTTACCGGACATGTCAGTTCATTCGGTGAATACTATCTGCTCAGTTATAGCATCATAAGCCCATTTTGAACAATGTATGCCAGCAGCATCGGCATAGATTTCGAGCATGTGCATTTATTTTAACAAAATAAGACATTTACATCACGAAAAGGCTAAAATTGGTGTATAAAAATTCACCAGAAAGCAGGAAATTAAGTCTCTGATCACATCTGACCCTGCCAAACTTTATTTCATGTGTGCCCCCAATTTTGAAACAAAACCTTCAGCCTTGACCAGCAGGAGGATAATTTTATCACATATTAGGATTTGTTTTATTAATGTTTTTATATATGGACCACTATAAGGCAACTATTGCTCGTAGAGGGTGTCAACAGGCATCAGACACTTAACTTAAATGCTTTAGACTTTCAAAGATAACTTTTAATCAAATTCAAGACTGACTTTTGGACAAATCATTATTTTCTCAGCCAAGCATTGCCGGCAAGTATAAGGGTATATGCGGTCCTATGCAGAAGTAGGTATTATGTAGGAATATGGTTATTATAGTGAGTTAGGTTCATCTGCATTTTGCCAACAGGTAAGTGCAAGTATATAGTATGAAGACAGGATTTAGGCACAGTTCTAGGTTTAAAGATTTGTAACATCAGGAATGCAGACCTTCACACAAAAAAGCCTGACTCGTATTGACAAAAAGATTTAAAAAATAAAGATAAATAAATTAGATAAAATGTTTGAGATATATAATTAAGACCTAACAAATTCAAATGTAATGATCTTTGTAGCCTTAATGTTTATAATACTGAGTTTAGCAGCATTTTCAGACATTTTAAGGAGCTGCAGATGCCCTGACACACAAAGGTTTAATGTGTGTGGAGTGGATTTTCTCCTTTCATCTGTTCTTTTCTTATCAAGTCAGCAAAAAAAAATGCAACACAAACTAACTCTCTTTCCATTTCATATTTTATTCTGAGCATATAGAACATCTGATCATAGAATACTTTAAATAACATGTGTAGGAGGACTTATCAAAGATAATTAATACATTCTATGACAGTGATAGAGGAATGGGTGATAAGTATGTATGTGCCGTCACGAGCCAGCAGTAGTGTTATGCGCAGGCTGAGATGAGGTGGCTAAGGCCACTGAAGTAAGACTTTTCGCGCTCGCTCATCACCTCAAAGTGCAGCGGCTGCTGGCAGAACGTGCACTCTGCTGACGAGTGGGGCTTCAGATCCAGGCCCACCTCCTTCCAGGTGTGCACCAGCCTCTCTGTAGGGTGAAAGAAAGCGGAAGCCAAATTAACTTTGATCACTGAGAGAGCGCTACAGTCAGTTACTGCATGTTTTGTTTCAACAACCAGCTAGAGCCATTTGACAAAAACAGATTATACATTTGGGATAATGCAAATCTCTGATGCAAATGAGGGGAAGTTTCATGTCCAACAGTGTGAATTTACATTTTAACTTAAATATTTTGAGTACAGACTACGGGGTTTTCTTACCAACAAAGTATTTCATCATCTCAGGGGTGTGGTGAGGCGTTGGGGCGATACGCAGAAGCTCTTCTCCCCTGGCAACAGTGGGGTAGTTGATGGCTTGCACGTAAATGTTGTGGCGACTCATCATGAGGTCACACACCTCTGTGTTTTTCTCAGCATTCGATACCTAAAAATAGTACAAAAACATGGTGATTAGAGTGGAGCTACAGGGAGACAGACTGAGGACTACTTAGCATGTTTTTAATTGTAATGAGTCATTAGGCGATAAATTAAATAATAAATTACCCGGACTGGGATGATGTGGCTGGGGCAGTGCACCACTGGCAGGCCCGAATCCATCAGCATTTGCCTGAGCAGCTTGACGTTGCGCTGGTGTTTGCGTCTCAGCGCACGGCCTTCTTCCCCTTTAAGAATCTGGATTGAGGTCCTGGCTCCGTGTAACAGCATCGGTGGCAGAGAGGTGGTGAAGATGAAACCAGCAGCGTATGAACGCACCGTGTCCACCAGGGCGGCGGTGCTCGCGATGTACCCACCCACACAACCAAAGGCCTTGCCTGAAAGAGGACATGACACATTTTAAAAACAGTCACTACATTATGCTCAGTGGTCTGCGCCAACTCCTCCTATTGTCAGCTCACAAACGCAATCATCCCGAAATGGCAGCTGCAGGAATACAGCGGCTGCAGAGCTCTCAGTTAGAAATAATTGTCCCCTCAGCTTGACAGCAACACACAGACGCAGAGAGTAATTCAACAAGAGCGCAACAAGAGCCCACAGTCTCCTAGCAACAACAGAGCAGCTCCGGCTTCTTTAAGCCCTCTGGCATATTGTGTGACACAGATGAGGCCTGATCCGGAGTATAAGAGCAAAACACAGATTCCCACTAGCTGAGAGTAGTTGTTTTGATCAATTAACACGCATCACTTCAAAATATGGCAAACTATAGACGTAACTTGTCATTCACATCAAGTTTAAATGTTTGGTTTGATGGCTCAAGAACTTTTTGGTTTGGCTTCACAGTCAAAATGCTTTGTAGAACGTCATCAGTATTTCATTTTAGTAGAGAATAATGCTGACCTAGTGTCCCCGAGATGATATCCATCTTGTGCATGATGCCATCCCTGTCTCCGATACCCCCTCCTCTCGCGCCGTACAGGCCCACAGCATGAACCTCATCTACGAAGGTGATAGCGCCAAACTCATGGGCCACATCGCACATCTCCTCCAGCGGGCACACAGCACCTGTGTTACACAAAAGTGGATAAAAATAAATGTTTAGACATTAGCCAAAGTACAGGCTCAAAACAGGTTATTTTAGTCTGACATGTAATGATGAAGTGTTGTAAATAATTTAAAAAATAATAATGGGGACCGCCCCAAACTAACCATCCATAGAATGGACGGTCTCAAAGGCCACTATCTTCGGTTTCGTGGGGTCTCCTTTCAGTAGAAGCTCTCGAAGATGGGCGACATCATTATGGCGGAATATAAATTTCTTAGCACCACTGTTTCGTATACCCTGGATCATTGAGGCGTGGTTCCCCGCATCAGAGTAGATCTCACAACCTAGAACAGAGAAGACAGAGAGGAAGTGAGAATGAGAGTTTCCATTTATGGCACGTATATCACATATTAATTCAGTTTGACTACAACAAACACCCATAAATGATGGATTTATTGTATACCAGGTAGCATCTTGGCGAGGGTGAAGAGGGTGGAGTCATTGGCGACAAAGCAGGAGGTGAAGAGCAGTGCTGCGTCCTTCTTGTGAAGGTCAGCCAGCTCTTGTTCCAGTTCCACGTGGAATTTACTGGTCCCAGAGATGTTCCTGGTGCCTCCTGCCCCTGAGCCATGCTTTCGTAAAGTATCCCTGAAAATAGAGACAAACAAATAATTAGTTTTATCTTGTCTGTTTTTGAAAACTGCAGAGCAAACATGCTTGTACGCCAGATGGAGGCTTAATGAGGGGTAAGACTACAACAAATGGAAAAATTTAACTAATTAGGCAGGAGAGTTGCTTAGTATTAGGTGACACCTCAAGGTGTTACTGCTGCACAGAGGATACGAGAGCTGGGCAAGCACAAACAAGCTGAAAGGAAAAGAAGAAAAACATCCCGACCCACTAGGGCCCCAAGAGGTTTAGGTGACCAGCTAACACTCTACACCCACACAAACAATTGACTGGATGACCCATAGGTGTCAGGTTGTTTCAGCTATTACATGCTGTGCCAAATCGTCTCAGTTTTTTCTCTCTCTGAGGTCACTGAAGCGTCAACAAGAGACGTGGGTATCCAAGAAAAATATTTATCTCATTACATGTAAACACATCCGGACCCATAAGGACTGACTCACACATGGTTTTTCCAACACTACACAAACTCTTCCAATACTCACATAATGGACTGCACGACCCGTGGGTGTCGACTCATGCCCAGGTAGTCGTTGCTGCACCAAACGGACACCTCCCTCTTCTCCTCTAAAGAGCCGGTAAAGTCGTCGGCCATGGGGAACTCGTTGGCCAGACGATTCACAGTCTTGAACACACGGTACGTGTGGTCGCTCTTCTTCTCTTCTATCTTCTTCTCAAAAAAGTCGTCGTATTGGTAGCGGGACACTGTAACACAACAGGAAAGCAGAGCTTGCTTAATGTGGTTTGCGCTGAGACGGATGAAGCAATGCCTAACCTAAAGTTCACTTCACCTTACTCAAAACAAACAGACCTGAGTTAGTGAGAAAACTACAATATGAGAGTGAAATTGTTGCTAGTATGATCATCATCGTGGAGGGAATAAGATAGCTTAGCAACGCTACCATTCAAATTAGCATGGCAGCTCTGTGTCAATATGTTTTAATGTTAATAAGTTGTCAGAGCACCCCAAATGTAACTTACAACTGCCTGGCAAGTTGTCCTGCAGCAAGTGGGAGACATTTTTAGGTCGCTGCTTCAGGAGGGTCTTCATCAAATTAGCTTGATCCCCTCCGCTTCTCTTAATGGTACTGACCAGGGACGGCTTATCCAGCTGGGCAGGGGACACCTCTGCAAAAATTAAGGAAGGACAAAAAGAAAATGGCATCAATTTATGTGCAAATGGACTGGCAAAAACAGTAAAGTCTAATCATTTTCAAAACAACTCTTACCTTTCTGAACAGTGCGGACTTCCTGAACATCCTCTTGGAACTCCATGCTGACCTGGCGGACCACACTGCTGTTCTTCTGGCCCATCTCAGCAGCCAGGAAAGGGCATTTGGAGGCTGCTGTCTGGCCTGAGGGTACCACAGGGTGGCAGGCAGGCAGCTTGGGCTCCTCTTCCTGTTTGGGGCCTGCAGGTAGACAAAAGTTTTAGAGTTTAACAACCTTTAAACAATATTATACACAGCAATATTCAATAATCATCACAATAACTGGGAGATATCATTTGATGTAATGTGGCTAATACATTAATTACAATTAAAAAAAACCCCCATCTAGTTCCTCTGTGTCATGCTCACCTTCACTAGCAGACATGGTGTCCTCGGTCCTCTCGTAGGAGGAGGAGGAGGAGGAGGAGGAGGAGCAGAGGGCCCTTGCCATAGATGGAGCCATTGGTTTAGAGGCAAGCTCCATCATGATAGGGCACCGCTGGGCGTAAACCACCATTGACTTTTTGGACTGCTGGAAGAAAGCCTGGGGCATACGAGCCAGGAACGGGCAGCGTCGCACGATCACATCCATAGTTAGCACTGGCGATGATTGTCTAGAGGTTTAAAAGGAGACAGATGAAACTCAATTGACTGTATGCAAGAGACAGTTCAGGCACTTTGTTCTATGTGGTGCAAAAACCGGTTGTGCGGGGTGTTTAAAGGCCCATTACACAACAAAACACAAAGGATTTTTTCCTCCTCGTTTACCTGAAATGCAATCAATCCATTTGAACAGTTTCGGTGTCATTTCAATAATAATAACAACACATTTAAGTCAACAGTTTCTTCTTTCGGTGTGGTTAAGTCAGTTGTTCAGAGTACAATTCACAATAAGGTCTGCAGATAATACATGTCATTTTATATCAAAGGAGAGATGTTAGTGTTGGATTTTGAAATTCTTGGAGTGCAGAGTTCATGGACTCTAATGTGTTACCGACCAACCAAAAGTATTTGAAAGGGATACTGTGCAGGAAAGAGAGGAAAACAGTTGTGGTTTATGGTGAACCAGACTTGAAACAAAAAAACAATAATCTAGGCTTTGAAACGAGATTCTTAGCAGAAGTTTTTCTTTGCTTAGATTTATTCACTTATAAAGAAGAAACCTTGAAATGTCACGTAAGTGGACTTCATGTTTTTTTTTTATGTGTGTAACTACTTTTTTTCAAGGTCAATGATGGGCCTTCAAGCTCAAAGTTTGGCTGCTTTCTCACCCCGCTGTAATCTACGTACACAACATTTTGTAAGTACTTCCACTGAAATCTAAAATATTGCTCATTTTTTTCCATTTTAATCTTTCAAATGAAACTACTAGTGTACAGTCATGTTTATCTGACTGGATGAACCGCTTGGGAGTCACTGCAACAGGTGTCCGATCACGACAGTATAATAAACATGTTAATAAAAACAAAGTCTCGTTGCGTAAAAAGGAAAATTACATTGCTTACGTATATCCCTGTGTCATAACCCTTCCCCCATTGGAAGTCAGGTGTACACATTCCTCGACAGAGTAATCACTGCCATACATTTTCCCAACTTGAGGCTCGAGGAAAAGGGATATGAGCCAAGAAGATATGCGTTTAGATAAATGTAAATACTTTAACTTAAATAACACAAATAAAAAAACAAGAATCAATAAGCCACCAAAATAACTTTTTCTGATGATAATGACAGTCTTATTACGTGTTGTCTTTATTCACTCAAACCCGGTACTGTACCATGGTATTACACTGAAAACTGTATCCCGTCACCTTTTTGTAGCTTGAATCTCGGTAACCTCACTTGCACCAAATAATTTCATAGGCACGACAAAAATATTGGCATCGACACAGCCATCTATCTGACTTACTATTAGGCTATTACAAGCTTGACAATTTTAGACACATATGGAAGCGTTCATATAAGCCCTCTCGGGTGGTGTTCCGTGTTGACACGCAAAGCATTTCACGGTTATTCACATTGATAAAGCAAGAGTCACGACTTGTCTGTCTCTGAAGTTAACTACGGTTAATATTAAAATACACAAATACGGTTTAAGTGTTTTATACACCCTAGCTACTGTAAAAGAGGCTAAGCCCACCGCTCGTGATCTTTGCCGGTTGGACGAGCTTAACGTTAGCTAAGGTGCTAGCATTAGCTAAGAAGCTACAACCAGAAGTGGCAACGAAATAAGAAACTCACCTCTTAAAAATGGCACGCTTAATGTTGTAAATCTGTTCAACAGTCGTGTTGTGGACGGGATAATGGCGGTGGAGCTAGTCTAATGATGCGTTCTGAGTAAAATGTCTCGTTGTTTTAGAAGAAGCCGAGAAAAAGATGACTGCTTCGTTATCCTGCACTGAGGACGAACGAAAAGGACGAGCTCTTGCAAGTGCTTATAAGCATGGCTGAAACCGCGCCGAAATCTCGCGAGATATTATTTACTTACGTCAAAGGTCATTCCAGTCAGTCAGCCTGCTGTGACTCATGCATGTGATCAAACACTGTCACATCAAGTAGGGTATATTCTCTAAATATATATGTTTGAAGATATAAATACACTCGTTTATTATTACACACTTAACATACAAATCAATCTAAGTTTATCCACTTTACAGACCATTTTCAAGGACTGCGAAATCTCAAGGGCATTGCTGCATGTCTCTGTCAGTTTTATGTTAAAAGATAAGATAAGAATACAGCCTATGTTACACCTCTATTGATCGCCAGCGGGGAAATGCGGCTGTTGCAGCAGTGCAAGGATAGAAAGAAATACGATAAGTATAGAAAGTCACATGCATAGTTAATAAAAAGTACATAAACTAAAATTAAAATAGACACAAGAGCATATGGTGATAAGTGAGACGGTAGAGTGAGTGTGGTGCTGATAAATTAACAGTGCTGTGACTTATAGCAGAAAGGTCAACAGGTCTGTGTAAGCAGTGTACGCCAGGTCAATGTATGATGTGTTTAAATAATAGTGCTTAATTTTGTCTGCATATTGTATCATAGAATATAGTGCAAGAGCAAAAGTAACATAATAACATAATATAATATATAACCATTATATACATTATGATATAGTATGGGATATGTGGCATATAAAGTGTAGTAGTATGGTAGGCTGATAGTGTAATATATAGTATAGCAGAACAATAAAACATGTTTATGATACAGAACTGAATTGATTTTTTTTTTTTTTAAATGGTGTCATCTGGTATAGTATAATATATAATAGGATATATAAACAATATGGTGAGGTATATAATCAGTCCAGCAGAGAGACTATGGAGAGGGAGAGGTGAGGTGAGTGTCCCTAGTGAACTTGACACTGTGGAGAAATGAGTGTGTATGTGTAAAAGTGGCACCTTAAACTGCTTCTTCCAATGTAGTATGTCTAACTCTGGTACAGGGTCGCATGTTTTTGAATGGGCATACATGACATGAATTCTAACTTGAGCTCAAAATTTTCCTCAATAGACCGGCTAATGTGGAGGTGCAGAGAGATTTTTTGTCCACATGTGACCTCTGGTGTTGAAAAGAGATACTGCACTTGAGCCTGTACCTCAACACAGACTGTTTTGAAGCTGGGTTGATTAGAAACGTAATCTGTGTAGGTGTGTTTGCTTGTGGGATTTCGGACAACAGTGGAGGAACACTGTGAAGTTTCCACCTAGCGTCTCAAACATTTTAAAAAATCAATACACATAAGGAGCAGCAACACACCCAGTTTATTAGGTACACCAACCAGTCAACAACCCTGTAATAATTTCTACCTTTATGAAAAATCAAATTCAAAAAATACAGTTTTGTTGTAATTATTATTGCCTACATTTTTTTTTGCATGCTATTACGACAGGCCCTAGTGCACTCTATTATTATGGGCCCTAGTGCACACTATTATGACGGGCCCTAGTGCCCTCTATTATGATGGGCCCTAGTGCACACTTTTATGACAGGCCCTAGTGCACTCTATTATGACGGGCCCTAGTCTATGTTTATTTTTTGTGAATTAGGCTGCTCTGTAATTGTTACTATCTTGCTGTTGTTTGTCGCAGTCTATGTTTGTTTCTGGTGAATTAGGCTGCTTTGTAATTGTTACTTGTAGAGTCTTAGCTTGCTCTGCTTTTATGTTTGTGTTGCTATGTTTACCTGTTACTATATTTTTGCTTAAACTGCATGCATTGATACTGTTTTGAACTTGTTCTAACTTTTATATTACTTAGGCTGCCAACTCAGATCTGGCCAGGGACTGCGGATGAAAACTAGCCTTTTGGCTAATTCCAGCATATTTACAGTTCACTGTTCATTAATATGCATTGTCCCTGATAAATAAACAAATAAATGAAATAGTGCACACTATTATGACGGGCCCTAGTGCACACTATTATGATGGGTCCTAGAGCACACTTTTATGACAGGCCCTAGTGCACACTATTATGACGGGCCCTAGTGCACTCTATTATGATGGCCCTAGTGCACACTATTATGACGGGTCCTAGTGCACTCTATTATGACGGGCCCTAGTGCACACTATTATGATGGGCCCTTGTGCACACTATTATGACGGGCCCTAGTGTACACTATTATGACGGGCCCTAGTGCACTCTATGACGGGCCCTAGTGCACACTATTATGATGGGCCCTAGTGCACTCTATTATGACGGGCCCTAGTGCACTCTATTATGATGGGCCCTAGTGCACACTATTATGACGGGCCCTAGTGCACTCTATGACGGGCCCTAGTGCACTCTATGACGAGCCCTAGTGCATTCTGTGACGGGCCTTAGTGCACACTATTATGACGGGCCCTAGTGCACACTATTATGACGGGCCCT